GCTACTATACTTGAAACCAAACAACAACATAGACATACAAGAAACTATCCTTGACTGAAGACAGTTATACCTTGAAAATCATGTAATCATCAGCCACAAGATCCTTTCTTGAATTGTGTTTCCAGGGGATACGAAAGGTTGTGTGGGCCTCATCGACCCAATACAACCCTTCATATTTTCTGCTGTTGATCTCATTAACCAGCCAGTCAAAGAAACAGATCTTTTGTGGGTTCCTGAAACAGCAAGGAGACATATTTAACTTGCAGGGGCAGGACAGCCTGAGCTTCGCTGCAACAAGCAACAAGTTCAATGAGGACTACATGCAGTGTACTCCTAGAAACCACTCCTGGCAGATCTACGTTTTAAAAAGGATGTCTAGTTCCATAATGGTTTATTGTTGTTCTATTTTGCGTTCTGCTCTGGCTGTTTTGATATCAGACTCTATCCCTCCCTAAAACTTATAGAAATACTGTATTCTTTCATGTTATTTTTTATATAGAAGGATTTATACTTTATTGATTCCAACTGTTTATACTTTATTGGTTTGAAAATAAAATAAGGAAACTACTTCTTCCTAGTTTCATTCCAAAGACACCATCTCATTTACCAATAGGAATGGTCAGGGCTTACTCAAGAGCTCTAATGTAGATGAAAACTGGAGCAGGGAAGAATTTTAGTGTAAGATGTCAGTCTCATTGTAATGAGGTCTGGAACTTTGAGCAAGACAAATTGGATATTGGGTGGTTACATTGTTGTAGCATCATTATCTTGTTTTTAACACAATTTTGGTAATAGATTTTACTTTAAATGTTGCATTGCTTTGGTGTGATGGAAGTTTCTTTAACCATCTCCAAAACATAAAATGGTAAAAGGAATGGTTAAGTACAGTGGAGACTCTAACAACCTGAAGATACAAGTGGGGGGAAAACTCTCTTCTTCACCCACCATAAAGTATGGAGGCATTTGGTGGAATATGCTTGGTGACACATATTGGAGAAGAAGTTATCTAGTGCTTCCATCTGCAAGGCTGACACCCCAGCATGCAACAGCCATGGGCTACCAGGTGCAGCCCCATCTCCTTGGCCCCTGATTAGCTGCAAGGGTGTATCTAGGCTTGCTCTAGCTACTCTTTAGCACTGGCTACCCTTGAGCACCTAAACTTGTTTTGGGGGTGGGGACTGCTCCTTCTTCCCTACATGTTCCAAGCCAGAAAAATCATGGATGCATCCCTGTAGCAAATCAATGGCCGGAGAGATGGAGTTGTTCTCTGTCATCCCCTCCTCCTCTGCAAGATGTTGGTGCATACTGGAGTAGTGGACAGGCAGAGTGAGCAGCTACCATTATTTTATTTCCCATAAGTGCCCTGGCAGAGGCTAATACTCTGCCAATATGCTGTAGATCTTGGCCATTGCTTGGAAGTGCCCTCTAGACTTGAGGCACAGTACTAAAGAACTCTTCTTGAATGTCACACTGTAAAGCACAAGTTGACCCTTTTACCTGCAAAATTACTTCTTT